ATTTAAAAATTTAATTATAATATAATATATATTTATTTTAATTTTTTTTTTTGAATAGTTTTATCATCGAACCCGCCCAGGAAAAGGGATGTGTAATTTTCAGTGACCCTAGTCACTGGACCACACGGGCCAAATGCATATATTTATTTTAATAATAACATATTATATTTAATTAATAATTTATCATAATTATAACTTATAATTTTATGATAACATTATAATTATAACACTATTAATATATAGAATACATAATCCGTTGAGTTAGCATCATTGGCATCACTGTGTCCACGTGGGAAACCCTGAACCTCTTGTCTCAGATTCCAAGGAAAAGGCAGGAACTTCATGGAACTGTGGGAGCAGAACGGATAGTAGCAGGCATTCATTCCTAAATGCTCTGAAAACAGAACTCTCCCCTCTTCTCTCTTAATGTAACTCCTAAAATTTTCTTTCTTGGGATGTATTTTTGTTTGTATATATTCTGGGGTGTTTTAGAAAGAACTGCAAAGGGAAAAGCAACTTAATTTATATGGATTCAGGGTACAAGAAGGATTTGGGCCTCCATTGATGGTCCTCCATTTTCTTAGATGGGTATTTATCTCTGAAATCTGCAGTTCTTTTAATATGGTGGTGGGTTCTTTTCTCTCTGTTTTTTTTTTTTTTTTTATAACATGTGTTTAGTTACTTGATTGCCTTCTAAAGCATTTACTTTTATGAATCTTTTGGTGGTGCAATTATTGTTTTTGGGAAGTAAATTATGAATTCTGGTCCATCTGTGTTGCCAATTATTTTATGATCTGTTTGGATGAATTAATTCATTTCATTTATGAGTCATTCAAGGTTTGAATCATCTTATTAAGGGTTTCTTAGCTGGGAAATAAGAAACTATCTCTAGTTTGTTGTTTATCTGTGTTCATGATGCATTTTTTCATTTTTTTTTTTTTTTTAATCTCATATGGACACTCACATCTTGGTCCTGCACTATCATAAAATGAAAACATCTCAATCCTGAGAGTTTGAGTAAATTCAGTCATTAAGCTTAGTATTTTGCTAGGGAAGTTGATAGCATGAGCTTATTGTGCATATGTGTTCAAAATGAATCATTTTCTGGTGCAATTATGACAGTGTCAGTTTTATGATCAATTAGTTTTTGTGAAAATGCCTAGGTTAACTACATCTATACTGATTCCTCAATGACTGACTTTGTTGGGACAAAAGTACACGGTAGTGTGCCTTACTTTTTTCTGTTACATCTAGTGATAGATTATAAAAGACGAGATAGCCCTTCCTTTTTCCTAAATCCACTCCCACTCAACTCAAGGTTTGAACATGAGATAGTGTGCCTTACTGTCCATAGGTAATGTACTGGCTAATGGTTCTGTGATTCTAAATATATGCAGTCCTGCTTCTCTTGGGCACACCATTCCCTATGAAAAGGTAAAGGTGAATTGGATAGTAACTGAAGACCAGTCTGGGCTTCAGAGAAAAAGGAGTGTTATATATCTGGCAAAGTCTTGTTAGTTTTGAAACATATTGAAATTTTGTCTTTATGCTGTGGCTTTTTATGGTTTTGTTTGGAAAAGATATGGTCACCATCATTTTACTGCAATCAACCTGAATGCTGCCAGTAATTTCAAAATTTGCCGTAGATATGTATCTATATGCATATATGATATACCTAGTAAGAGTAGGAATCTCAAGTTCACTTCTATCTGAGCCAATTCAATTCTTCAATCAGTGTATATGCTGCTGTTAATTTCATTGTTTTGCCTTATCATAATGGAAACACATTACATCTTAGAATGCGTGTGAATGAATGTGGATCTTTGCGTTCTTTTAAGAAACAGTCCATGTTAGCACCATTAAAAGGACTTACATTACTCCATTCGGGGTTTCAGGATTGCGCACTGAAGTGGTCATGCAAGAAAAATGGATGAGGACAATGAAAACATAGAACCAGTGACTGATTTAGGACTTTCGCTGGATCATTCCCATCATAACATTCAGAGAAGATTGAACAATGATTTTGGTGCAGGTGCAAATGCAGCTTCAAGAATAGATATGACATTTGTGGCTGCTGACCCCCTGTCTGAACTAGTTTGGTCTCCACAGAATGGTCTCAGTCTCAAATGTGCAGACTGCAGCTTTTCTGAAAAGAAACCATCTCATTTATGGGGCGCAGGACCAAGCAACATAGTCGTTTCACCTCAAATTATTAAAGCTGGGAGTTGTAATGATGACAAACATATAGATGAGACTTTTAGCACATCCCTATTGCATAAGAATTCTGGAGTTGGTGTAGATACCTTAGTTAAGTCTCCTAGATACATTGCTAGCGTCAGGCCAATGGATCAATCAGATCATGAACAGTTGGCTGATAAGGATAATTCCCTTCCAGGTATGTTAGTTGTTTATCATAAAAGTATCAATTATTGCTTTTACATTTTATATTGTTGATACATTCATTCCTTTTGCCTAAAATTGCAAAGAAACTTGTGTTCCACAGGAACTGGTCATTTTGTAGAGGAGATGAACACCAAGGGGCCAATATCTGTTCAGCATCCTAACGAAATGAATGATCTAGAAGATTCTAAAGAAGGAAATACATCAGGTGAAAACAAATATCAAGCAACTGAAATAGCTGGGGACATGGAAGACAATCTTTTGCAATTACCAGGTGCATGATACTATCCTTTGACTTTGTTTGTCACATTAACAGGTTAGCTTGGAGAAGGTTCTCAAAATCATTTACAACTTGTGTTTTGGCTCAACGGGCCTTGGTTTTCAAGACCAACACCGTATATTTTGCGGTCCAATTTGGTCTGAGCTTAACCATTTTTTGGTATCTTTTGCAATATAAATATAATAAAAATAAAATAAAATTAAAAAGGAATTTTGACCTGTCCTTTGACTTGTTTTGGCCTAGCCAGTGCACATTTTCATCAAGCCTGCCTTGTGACTGGCCTCACATGTCACTGGTCCTAGACCAGTCCATGGTTCTAGAGTTGTGTTGGCCAGTCCTGGTCCCAGGTTTGAAAGGACCGACATGATGGCCATGAGCATGAAATTTGAGAGAAAATATGCTTTCCATGAGCATCATTGTAACTCTAGAGAAGTTCATTTTTTTTCTTCCAATCATGAAGTCCCAGCATCATCAAGTGATTTTTCTTAACCTTTTTTTCCTTTCCTTAATGCAAATAATATTTTGCTTTACGAGAGAATTGGATTGTTCATGTTTATTCTTTCCCTCACATTTTAAACGTCTGTTACATTGTTTTCTCAACTTAAAATAGATGTAGATAACTGGGGTATGGCACAAATTGACCCTTCATTCAACGATCCTGTTGGTGGAGCCAGAGATGTTGGTAATGGGAATCAGATGTCCGGAACAGAAGTTTTCTTGGCACCTGAAGTTCAAGCTGAGAACAAATGTTTGGCTTTTGAACCTCTAGAGCAAAATCTAATTACACCAGGTAGAAAACATGAGAAACCCAATTCATTTATGGGAAAAGAAAGCAAACCTGAGGTGAGGAAAGGGAGTTATCCCTGTCTTTTTCCTTCTAAAAAACTGGAGGCAACTGCTGAAAATGACTTCCCAAATCTGATTAGTAGAAAAGCATGTGGTACATCTAGTAAGACTGCAGCATCACAATCTGCCTTTGAAGTTAAAATGAATTTTGAGCAGGATGGGAAGACACTTCAAAAGCATACATCTTCTGGTGAGCATTCTCCCAGTAAGAGCAAAATCCACAAATATCAAAGAAAAGGCAAGAAAAGGGCTTTATCTGATGGAGATGTTATAGGAAGAATGTCTGAAGAGGAGGATGACAGCCATGAGAGTGTTGAAAGTTGTAACAGCACTGGATTGTTTTCTTCAGGCAAAAGGCAATGGGAATGGGGCTTTGATCAACAGTTGATTGTTGAGAGCAAAAGAGTCAAAAAGCAAATTCATAGAAGTCCTGGTTCTTCATCATTAAATAAACAAGATAGCTCCTTCATGAACTGGATATCCAACATGATGAAAGGGTTTTTGAAATCAAAAGCTGGGAAACCTTCCTTGGCGCTTACTGTGGCACATCCTAATCATGAACATGATAGTCCTGGAAAGGATCTTGAAACATGTGATGAGAACCCTAGAAATTCTGGCTTTCAGTCCATGTTCCAGTCAATATATTGTCCAAAGAAAGAGGTTCAAGGCACAACAGCACTTGATGAAAATTTGGCAAGGTTTGAGCCAGCTAATACAACTTTCGACATGGATGCAACTCCGATTGCCTGCCACAGGAAAAACATTGACTTCCACCAAATGCTACTTCTTCAGAATGAGGGGTTCAAAGAATCTACCTCTGGAGACATAGCAGGTCCAGCTACAGAACTGAAGATTTCATCAGTAAATTTCACTGCTACTCAGAGAAACAGTGAAGGCAGTTCTGCCAGGAACATATACTCATGCAACTTGGTAGCTGGTGCAGAGAAAGATGGAAGAAGCTCAAGTTCCTCTCTTGGCAAATGTAAGGTGATGAACATTGAGAACATTGATTCTAAGCCGGCTTCTGAATGCAAGAGAGTTCATAACATTAGTTACAAAACTGATCCTTTGGGGAGCTTGTGGATAGCTCGGTTAACTCCAAAAGCTTCCAGTCCCTATTTGAGCCAGGATAATCAAAACCAAAGTGCTAGTGAAGTTGTTGAGTGCTCTACTGATTGCATGAAGTTTATTCCTCACACGGAGAATCATGTCAGCATTTCTAATGATCTTAAGGTGGCAGAGGTTGAAGAGGCTAGGCAGCAACGTGGTGAAGAGCCTGTTCTGGGTTCATGTAAAGAATTACAAATTCGTACTACTGAAACTGAGGCTTCTATTGGTTTTAACAGAATCACAGTCCAGAATGATCAGAAACCCATATGTAAATTGAAACCCATTGTGCCTTTGGCAAGAGTCAAAAATTCAGATGCAATGGCTTCTCTTTTTGCTAGGAGATTGTATGCACTGAAGCATATCATGCATGCTGGTGTATCAGAGGATGGAGCACCTGCAACCGTCACCTGTTTCTATTGTGGCACAAAAGGTCATCATTTAAAAGATTGTTCAGAGATGACAGATACTGAGCTTGAAGGGCTTGTGACGAATGTAAAGTCGCATAATGGAGTGGAAGAATTACCTTGTGTATGCGTCCGATGCTTTCAGGTTAATCACTGGGCTATTGCATGTCCCAGTGCATCCTCCAAAGGACAACATCAATCTGGATATGGTGCATTTTTGGCTAATGACAGTAAAATGCAGTGTACCAAAAGAAATGAAGAACTCCTAAAGTCATTGAATGGTAATGAGAATCAAAAAGCTGTTGTTTCATGTACAGTTTTTGATGGCACTAAAACTCAGATGGGGACCTTCCTTGATTATGTGACAAGTGCAGATAAAATGAAATCTAGTATGAATTTAAATAAGAAATATGAAGGTTCTAGTTCCAGGGCAAATGAGTTGAAGGAAAATCGGATCACACCTTTGTGCAATTTTATTAGTCAGCAGGCTTCAGATGTACGAAAGGGAATCTTTGATGCGATTAAGATGCTTCGCTTATCACGGACAGATGTCCTCAAGTAAGTATATTAATCTTTTACCATTGTTAAATCCACTTTTTTGACAACTGCTTTGACAGATGTGTCAATTCACATACATCCACCTGCTCTCTTATACCTCTTGAAATTTATTGCCTCATTCTTCATGTTGTAATCAATGCTTATAGACTACTGAACTTTCTATATTGGATCTGCATCAGATGGATGAATTCCCAAATGTCACTCTTACATCTTGATGGTTTTTTCCTGCGATTGCGGCTTGGGAAGTGGGAAGAAGTATTAGGCGGCACTGGCTATTATGTTGCCTGCATTAGTGGTATGACTTAATCAAAACTACTTGTCGACTTGTTTCAAATGATCTGAATTCTTTCAATGCCTGTCTTATTCAAAGACAACTGCCGTGATTTTCCATTTTTCTTATATTCTTTTTCATTCTTTTGCTCAGGGGCTCAGGGACTGAATTCTCAGAGAAATTCCAAAAATTCCATTTTGGTTAATGTAGGAGGGATAAAATGCTTGGTTGATAGCAAGTACATCTCTAACCATGATTTTCTGGAGGTATAAAATTTCTGAATTTTACTCTCTGTTAACTGTTAACAATCATCATGTCTTAAGTCTTTTGCCACTGCAATTACTTTCGAGTGTAGTTTAACATTCAAGATCAAACGTCTCCCAGGTAAGATTATGTTTCATTCAGTAGACAGCCTAAGGTACACTGCACTGCTTCCAACTACATATTTTTGTACTCCCATTCGACTAAAAGAAGCAGTTTCCTTAAACATTTGTTGTGCAGGATGAACTTATGGCATGGTGGCACGCAACCACTAGGAGTGGTGGCAAGATTCCATCCGAAGAAGAATTAAGAATAAAAGCCGCAGGGAGAAGAATGTTAGGTTTATAGGCGTTGTAGTGAGCTTTCAGCAGATTCACAAACTTGTAATCAAAGGCAGGCATCAACTTTGTCTTGCTTGGTCCATACTTACTGAAGTGGGAGAATCCTATATTGATCAACTAAAAGAAAACATGTGGACTTCAATATAATTAGACAGGTTAATTCACCTATTGTCAATGCGTAGGTCCTCGTTGATAGTGCATGAGTAGATTCAGTGTAGCCCCAATCCCAATGTAAGTCCTCTACTCCATTTCCTCTTAGAGTAATGGGAATTTGTAATTTTCTATGTTCTTGTATAAATTTTTTCCATTATTCTTCTGGTTGTTTTGTGGATATGTAAATAAGATTTCTGAGAATTTTTCGCTCTGATTCCAAGCTAAAAAAAAAGAGAACAGATATATGTACTTTGCTATTGTACCAGTCATATACAAACTGCTGCTTATTTTTACACACATTGGTACATTTGATGAACGAGTTACATAATGGAGGACCCTCGTTATTGTCAAGTCCCTCTCTATATGAATCAATATTCATTTAATCCTTTAGTTGGCACTGTGTTATTCCCTCTTGATGGTTGCATTTTTTAGATATTTTACGAACTCGCTAATGTAATGGTCTTGGTGCAGCTTCTGGTCACCAAAGACTGAAGAAACTTCTCTGGCTTTGTCCCTTAACTTTTGTCCTTCTGATGACATAGCCTTCCGAAGAGAATCAGCAATATTTTGTCAGCTAAACGATCCGCTCTGCTCCTTCCAATTTCGAGGGCCACGCATTTTTCCACAAGAAACCTTGCATTCAAGGCTTGGTCATAAATAAAAGGCAGGAGGACTAGACAGTGTCCGAACTCCAGGGACTCAGTTGCAGAACCCCATCCTGAGTGAAACACAGTACCCTCAATTGATGGGTGTTTGAGTATTTCAACTTGTGGTTCTCATCCCATGTAGACAAGGCCCTGTTTGGCTGTCCTTTTAGTGAATCCTTCAGGCAAAGCAACATTGACATCTTCTTCATCAGGAGGAACCCAATGAGGTTTCCTTAGTGCCCACAAAAATGGCAACCCGGATATCTCTACCCCATATGCTATCTCATGGATTTCATCTCCGGTTAGCTTGCACTCACTGCCAAAACAAACAAACACAACAGTCTTGGATTTCTTCTCATCAAGCCATTGGAAAATCTTAACCCATGATTCATCAAGGGTTTCTATAGTCTCCTGTGGAGGTGGAAGCAAACCTACTGGAATAACCGGCTTTGATCCCATCATTTTCTGCAGTGCAATCAAATAGTTTCCTTCAAACTCGGTGCAGCTGCGTATGGCCTCTGCTCGACATGCACTGTAAAGCTTGGCAAGCCTTTGAAAAAAGACTTCGTAAGGATCACTGTGGTTTTCAATTGCCTCGAAATGACGGTAGGCTACCAAAGAGGGAAAATCTACCCACTGTGGTGGTGTTGTGAGACTCTCTGGCGATGGCCGCATAAGTTCACGGTCATCACAATGTTCAGGCGGTCCAACGAATACAGTTGTGGCAGATGAGAATACTGAGAACAACAAGAGTGGGACTTGACATTCTCTGCTGATATCAACTGCACAGCCAACCATAAAATCAGCAATAATGTAATCAGGAGACTGATGAGCAACAAATTTCTTGATAGGATGCTGCAGAAGACCACACATACATCTTCTAATCGAAAATATTATAATTATAATATCATATGATATTATAAATTTATAATATGATGTATCATTATATAATTAACTTCTTTTATTTAGGGATCCATTCATAATATTATATATATTCATTTATTTAATGTCACATCATATTTCATTTAATGTCACATAAGATTGTTTTATAATCTAACATTATAACTACAGCATTTTGTCGTCTTTTAATAATGTGTCTTAATCCCCTTAAAACCCTCTAACTCTTGTATTTGAGATCATTAGCTTTTCAAGTTACAATTCTTTGTTTTTTAACTCATAAACTTTACATTATTACTGTAATCGATCTTAAATAGATAGAATTTTATCTTATAAATTACATGACTATCTTTACTTTGTTACTCTATCCTCATCAACATCATGGTGGCATAATATGGTCTACTTGGATCCATAGAAGTGAAAAATTCTTACTCAAAGCACATATAAATCTCATCTTGAGAGAAATCTATATTTATACCGATATGGTATTGAAGAGTGTAAGGTAATGAAGTAAAGATGGACACGTGACTCACAACATGATTAGATTCCGTCTATTTTAAATCATTTACAATAATAATATAATATTTATAAGTTAAAACGCACAAAATATATATGTTGACGGGGTTAAGCACATAAAGAGATAATTAGATCAAGTTTAGAAAATGTATAAAACTGCATTACCAAACAAAGATCCCTAGGGATGATCAAACAAAAAATTTAAGGTTACTAGCCTCTTGGCTAAAATAAAACAAAGGTTTGTCTCTTAATGGGGATTAATAAGTTAAGAGTTTAATATTTCAAATTAAAAATTTTATATTTAAATCTTAAGTCAAGTAGGTAGAGAGAGGGAGTTAAGGAAAATGGAGGATTATCATGTCTTGTAAAATTTATCATTGGATTAAAAAAAAAAAATCCTTAGGCACCTACGTACGAGAGAAAATTAACCAATAAACTACAAGTAGTTAAGCTAGAGCTATTAATTTTAGAAATTGAAAATTCCCATACAGGTACTTTTAGTGTACGGTACAAATGTGAATGCACTTAACATGACAGCCTTAAGTGAAACTAGGATAGAGGGTCAAAGGTTTCTAAGCTATAATAAAAGGTAGATAAAAGAGTGTTATGTGCATTTGGTGTAAGCT